GGGGGGACTCTTATTTGTTCATTTTTTCAGTGTGTTTTTCTGAAACAGAAATGATGTTTCACTTAGAAATTCTATATGGAAATAATGGTTGACACTACAAAAACATTCCACACTGATATAAGCAGATTATATTTCCTTTACACAGATTCTACGAGAGATGCTAGTATATGTGCCTCAAAACTATTACTGCACTGGCCCCTCACAAGTATCCTGTGAGGTAAAAAGCATCATTTTAAAGGAGAGAAACAGTTCCCTAAGGAAGATGCCTACTTCAAATGTCATGATTTTACTTATTGAGTAGTATGCAAAATGAAGAATTTATGGAATGTTATGAAAGCCTTCAATCAAAGGTCATTTTTTAAACTCCAGGTCAATGTAATAGAATTTGGATGCCATTCTTTTCAAGTACATTGCTGGTAGGGAATAATGCTTGTTTCCTCGGCTTAACGATCATATTAGATTGCAGATTTAATTAATATTTAGAGTTTTTCTGAGGTAAACATTTAAATAAGAAACAAAGAGAGAGAAATAATTTAGAAAAATAGAAAAGACTGAATGATTGTAGTTACTTATGTGCAGTTTCTCTACAGGAAAAAATCTGCTTGTTTGATTTGGTAGAACAAAAATAAGATCATAAAACATTTTTATCATTTCCTTTCTATTCATAACATGGGTCAAGGCTTATCCATGAAATTTTAGTTGTTTTTCTCTCATTTTTTAAAAATCTGTTTACTCCTCCAATTTTTCACATAACATTTATTGATAAAAATAAAGCTCATTAGGAAATAAAACTCATTATTATTGACTTGAATAAGATTAAAATGTTCATAAATCATCGACATCTTTGTGTGATGAGGTTCACGCTGAGCTAATGGTCTAATCATTCAGATGATATTTTCATACTATGTAGTTAAACTACATGATTATCTGAAATACAATTTGTACTGGGAAAATAAATGTGTTTTTTGTTGAAAATGTGAAGAAGCATTTTTTCAGGTTTTGTTTAAAGTTCCCTTCTTATGTCTGTTTCTTGTCTCTCTTTCTACTTACTGTTCATTTTTTACCTGAAGTACACATCCCCTTCCTCTTACTTGTGTCCCTATTTTTGTACCTAAATGCAACTCACATTAAATTCTTTGTTTGGAAAATCAGTTTCATAGCTGATTAGTTGAGGTATTTATGTTCTCTATGATTTTCTGATAAAATACATGTAATTCTCAATAATCTAGACATGATTTAACCAACACTTAAGAACTGGGGAAGCATCGAGAAGTGAAAAAGAAGATTTGCTAAAGTGTATCTTTGCATATCTGTGATATCAGAAATCTAGATGCCAACAGAGTCTCCATGGTGTTTGAACATCATGTCGAGAGTTTACTTTGGAATTTTCCTAAAATCTTTGTTCAGGTGTCAGTCATTTTTATACTACTCATATTAAGATGATTTCTTCTCACTTTTCCCTAAAATTTATCTCTGAACCTTATTGTAGTTGTAAGTGTGCTCTTCAAAACATGTACTAAACTCTGAAGTCCTGTAAGCTCTTTCCATATTAAATACAGATCCAGCCACCAAAGTGTACATTTATCCAGTAGTTATCTATCGTTATAAGGATAGAAAAGGCTGGGGAGATGGCTCAGTAGGATAAGCGTTTCCTTGGCAAGCACAAGGGCCTGAGTTCAATCTCTGGTTCCAAAAAAAAAAAGGATAAAAAAGCTAGGATGCAAGGACTTGTATAGTTCAGAATAGAATGTGAAAAGAGACCCAGAAGAACACCATGTGAAGACGGAGCACAAAACTGGAGTTATACTGCCCAGACCATAATACCTGGGATTACCAACAACTGGAAAAAGCCACGATGGTTTGCTCCTGTGGGTTTCAGAGGAAATACAACATAACTAACACTTGGTTTTGGACTTTTACCTCCCAGAACTATAAAATGATATAGTTCTGCTATTTTATTGTTACTAAATTTGTGGTATATTTTAATAGCAAGGTTGCATAAATAAGCTCTTGTCTTTGAACATTCAGCACATGAAATTTTATTAATATATTCTAGATTTTGAACTTGAAAAACCTTTAGCATTTTCTGTGGATGTGACTTTCCCATGACAGATGCTAATAATGTTGCACACCTCCAACAGTTGACGTAGTCCCTTGGTCATGAATATGGATATAAAGAGGTTCATCCACTGAAGCTCATAAATTACATTTTTACATTGACCTTCATGTCCTCGTTATCACTCTACTCTATTTTCATATCCATCTCTAAGAAAATTAGTTCTGCTGATTCCACTTGTTCCACAGGTGATTAGAAACAGCAAATTGAGTGGGAAGTGACTTAAGAAATCTAACCTGCAAGGGATTGCAGCAGAGACATAATGTGATAAAGTTAAAGCTTAACCTAGAAGGTGAGTTTTGCTATTGATGACCTTCTGGAGACTGGGAATTTACTTTTATAAGATTTCTGTGCCTTACTTGTGAAAAGGAAAACAACAACAGCATTGTTATCACAATCAGTGATGTAACATTTGATAAATATCCGATACATGGAGGCATACAGTAGAAAGTTTTTGCCAATTGAGTTTGACCACTTTTTCTTCCAGAAGCAACAGTTTAGCATCAGGAAACCTAATGATAGGCCTTATTATTATATTTTCATTTAGTGTTACAAATGCTACTTGTGAATTTATCCTTGAATCTTCAATAGATGGGTGAATTAGTGTCCATGAGAGCTGCAATTTATAAGATGATTTTGGAAACTGCCATTCATCTATATTCATCGAGAACATTGGGGATACACCCAATAACTGCTGTTAAGAAAGTCCTGTCAAAAGCTACAGTAATTAAGTAAGTTTTAGTTGTCTCAGTTATTTACACACTTTTTCTGAATGGGTGAAATTAAGATTAGAAAGTGAATTTTCCAAAATCAACAAGTATTTTAATTTTTTCTATATCTAATTAAAAATATCAGAATACTACAATCTGTTCTTCAATATCACCAGAGCTTTCAATAGGTTATTGAAAAACAAAACAAAACTCACTAAGGGTTTATGTAATAGTCCTAAAATCTCATATATCTGAATGGGTATTGCTTTTTAAGCAGGGTACATCATATATTAATATAGCTAATATATTTTTTCTGAATAAAACATTATTGAATATTCATTATTACATACAAAGATGCAAAATTTTAAATTATTCAGTTATTTTGACACAGGAAAATATCTGACAATAGATTAAACTTTGCTTCATTCTGAACATACTAATAAAGTTGGTGAAATAAATCCTATAGTGAATTAGATTAGACTCTATTAGCAATAATTGCGCCTCGGATAAACCTCATTGGCTATGATACTGCCACTGCGCAAAGCTTAGATTAGACTCTAAAGTGTAAGTGTTCATTTATTCAATAAATATTTATTTGATGCATGATATTGTAATAATTACTACAAAAAGAGTAGTGAACAAATCAGATACTCCATGGCCTTCAGAGGTCAAGGTTAACACAGGGCAAGCTTACTAGCAGCATATGCATACACCCACTCATAATCTTTTGTCAACTCCTATATCTCTGATGTCCTCATTATTCTACTCTAATCAAGATTATTTTCATTAAATAACAATAATTTTCCAGATTGAGAGTTTGAATTTATTTGTGTTATAATTTCAATTAAATGTATAACTTTTGGCATTTGATACTGGGCGTGGTGGTGCGCACCTGTAATCCCAGTACTTGGGAAACTGAGAATAGGAGAATCACTCCAAGTTGTATCTATGTAGTGAGACTCGATAGATCTTGTAGAACCTACACAAAAAAAAGAACTCTGGCTATAATCACCAATAAAAATCTGTTCACAGAAATTTTGTACTTTTCTAGCCTGAATCTTGGAAATATTCTAGTTCCTCCTGAAAATGTTTCTGAATTGTGTAGTTAGATACGGTCAGACCAAGGACACCAGGTCTGGTATCAGTTTTCTATATTAGTTCTTCCCTTGACAGGGGGACAAAATACCCTTCACACACAGTTTAAAGGAGGGAAATTTTGGTGTCACTGTGTAGTGAGCCAGCTAGAGGGACAAACTGTGTGATGTGAAGGTATGGCAGAGGAGAGTCACTCCCCTGGTGGTGTTCAGTCAGTAGTAAAAGAAGAGTCAGAGAGGGAAGAGTACCCTTCACATTCATGCCTACATTCATGTACTTCTTCTCATCAAGTGATACCTCTTCATGGTTCAATATAAACTCATCAATGAATCTATCCACTTGTAAGTATATCACACCTATATGCCAGTACATTTCAAAATTCTGATCTCTGAATACATGGCCTTTTTTGGGGGAAGGGTGGTGGATTACAGATCTAAGCTATGACACTAATATAGTCTGAAAATCTAGAAATTACTTTCCAAACAGAGCCCAAGCCCACTATGTAAGTGAGATCTTCAGCCTGCTTGCCCACTTCCTGGATCCCATTTCCAGCCAGAGCCTGGGCCCATTAAAAAAATCCCATAAACTGAACTAAAGGTTCAAAAAATGAACAATCTCTAGAAAATGAGAGATAGTTGGGATAAAATAAAAGTCTTAATGAAATACACAGAAAAAGGCACATCTGAATAAGAATTAATGTTTGTTGAATTCAATGCTTAATAATATATTTATTAAAATATGCAATAAATTAAAGTTTATAAAATGAAGATTAGAATTAAATAATATAAATTTGAAATATGCATATTAATTTTAATTTTCTGAGTCATTGTGATTTATCTTTTAGAAAATACATTTCATTGAAATGAAGAAAAATGAGGTAGCTTGTTTTCTTTCATTTCAATGTATTTAGTACAGGGAGTATAGGGTCTCAATACACAGATTGGACTCATAGTAAATCTCCTGTTTTGAGCCTCGCAAGCACTGGGAAGGATAGTATGTTTTCTAATGAGTGTTTTCTTTATCAAGTTGGAAGAATCCTCCTTCAACATCACCACTACTTTCAAAGCAAATGACTCAGTGACTCATTTTGTAAATGTACAGCATTAGGAATCCACTATATTATTTGTAATGACAGATATACTGATTCATTTTGAAAACTAAAAACAAGTTAAAAATCTATTGTAATGCCAACCAGTACCCATGATATTATAAACAAGAGTATTTAAAATATTTCATTTATTTCTGATATAAAATTGACCACATAGTGATCACAACATGCCTACACTGAAGAAAAACTTTAGAACTTAGAAATATTCACTACTACTTTTTATAGATTTGCCATTTGATTAGAAAGAAAGCATGGAATTTCACAAGTCCAAAACTGAAATGTGCGATATTTACACTTCATTTACTTGGGAAATGCATGCAATAAGGAAAATGCACACCCCACGTACCGCTGCTCAGCATTTCCTTCTTGCTACCTGCTCTAATTTTAGTGCATCAAATTATTCCTTGGGTAAAATGTCCATTTAAATGATTGCTGTGTTTTAAACAATTTTGAAAATGGGATGGGATGACCATTCCTCACACTGCCCAGTTGCGCCAGGCTGATTCTGATGGCTTAAGTGACCTCACTGGGAGGGAAGCGCCCCAGGGGAGGGAGTCAATCACAGGAGACTGTAGTGCCACAAGCGTTTTTCTTTTTCTTTTTCTTCTATTAAGGTAGACTTTGATCTATTTGAAATTCTATACACTTGCTTTCTTTTGTTCAATAAAAAGTTATTTGAGATATATGCAACGTTTCTAATGATTCATTAAATATAATGCTTAATTTAGATTTTCTTTGATTTTTTAAATTCATCAGATTTTATGAGGCATAATAAAAGTAAAAAAAAAAAGATTATTTTGGTCCATCAAAATTAAAATATTTATTTCTTTAAAGGAGTGATTTAGGCTGAGACCCTACCCAAAGTTAAGACTCTAGTTTTAAATCTCATTTTCTAAAACATCATCCCATACCTGTAAAAGATACAAGTAATTGTGTTACTACTGAAACATGACTAAATAATACCTAGCCACATTGTAGTTATACTGTTTAACCACCTCTGTTCATTAATTTAAGCATGTTAATATCATCTATTTCTTTCAATAGTCATCCTCACAACTTTTTTTTTTTGGAACTGGGGATTGAACTCAGGTCCTTGCTCTTGCCAGGCAAGCACTTATTCTACTGAGCTATCTCCTCAGGGGCCTCAATATTGTTCTTGATGAAGTAACTTTTATGAGCCTTTAATGGCATATGAATTGAATTCATGGGTATTGAGTTGCTCATTCATTATTATGATAATTAAGACCCATTGCTTCTATTCTTAACGTACTGTCAACCTGTTTTCAATCTTGATTTCTTCTTCTACCTAATGACATGTTAAAGTGGAAGTTTTGGCTCTTTGCAAAGTTGTCTATGAAAAAAACTCCATTTCCTCTTTTAATCACCAGCACTTACATTTGTTGTGACAGGGAGAAGGAAAAATAGAAGATGCAAATTGTTCATTAACTTACAAGACAAGGAACGGGTAATTTCCCTATGTGATCACCCAGATTCTCTGGCTAGTACTGCATGGTAATCTGTGTCCCTCACGGGGTAAATGAACAAATGCCAGCTGCATGTGTGGACAGTTCAAGAGGATCCCAGAGCAAACTCTCATTCTAACTTTTTTAATATTTCTACTTTAATCCTACTAAGTCCAACTCCTACATTTGTTCTCACTTTTCCATGAGCCTTGTCTAGTTTCCTTAGATGTAATTTTGTTTTCTTCTTGATGTTTTTTGCTTCATTTTTTTGGGTGAGGTTCACACTACATTGACTCAAGCCAAGATAATTACCCCCAAATACAGTTGCTCTCTGAGCCTAACATGAGACTCCATCTGAGGCTGTCTCCTCTCTTGGCATAGGTTGTTCAAAGAGTGTGGGGACATGCCATTGTGTATGCTGATTAGATGGTTACACAACCGAAGAGCCAAATGTCAGTTTTTCTGCAGTAGCTCTGGAAGTCTCTTATAAGTGTTTCTGGTTGCTCTGCCATAGCTCCTTCAACATCTAGAATCCATTCAAGGGTTTACCTTTCATGGTAATTTTGCCTTCAGGAAAGAGCCAGATGTCACATGACTCCAGGTCCAATGAACACGGTGAGTAAATAAATGAATAATACTTTTCTTTTATATAAATCTCAGTACCTGAAGTTATGTGTGTGCAGACCATTGTCATGAGGGAGGATGAAATGTCTTGCTCACTTCTTGAGCCTTTTCCGATGCACACTAAATCTTCAACACTTTAATAAGTCCTTAAAAGTTTAGATTTAACTATAGTTTTCCTGGGTAAGAACTAGGCTGGCTCGATTCCACGCAGGTCAGAAAACATCAATCATCACTTTGATAATGAACCTCAATAGTGCACCTTTGCCATTGCTGTTTTCCTAGCAGTAGGACTTGTTGATTTCCACTGAGAACTCAAAACCGTAAGCTCAGGATTATAGTCGTAGCTCTGTTACATTCCTGTGATAGCTCTGAAAAAGCTGAATTGTGAAGAAGGAGAATTGTACAATGTCAGTGAAACTGACAAGTGTCTGCCTTTTTCCATGGTCAAAAACTGAAAGCTGCACTCACTTGCCTCTTGTACAAATCTGTTGTTAAAATGCATTCTACAGGGCCAGGGAGATAGCTTGGCAGTTTAACTGCCTGCCTGGCAAGTGCAAGGACCCAAGTTCCATCCCTGATACTTCATGCCATGCTGCAAGTACAGGCCACCAAAACCGGGTATGATGGTGCATGCCTGTAATCCAAGCACAGAGGAGGCTGAGACAGGAGTCCAAGCTGTGTAGCCAGACCCTCTGCCAAATAAATAAATAAAAATAAATAAATAAGAAATACTTTGGACAGATCCATATGACAATTTTAGGTCCTCAAATATTTCCCTATTAGCCAATTATCTGTCCAATAGGATTATTTTGCTTTTTTTGGGAATATTCTCTTGGTCCTAACATTTATGATGTTCAGTGATGTGCCATCTTTCTTCCTCATGAACTGATTCAAAACACAATTGCACCAGACACACATAAAGTTTCTTCATGATCACTACAGCTTCAAGATAAACTAATTTTAACATTTGTGCATTTCCTTAGAATTTATTTCATAGTTTGAAAGACAATTTTACATTCATGTGTGTTCATGATCTATGATGTACTCCATACTTTAAAACAAACCTCATCATCAGGTAACTATTAAACACTTGCTCTGAAGAAGAAGAAATTTGGCCAAGGTTACTAAACTTCAATGAGCTTAATTCCATAAGCTCATTTTGGTGAGTTTTTTGTAGGATCACATGCAGACACAGGGTTCCCCCTATGTTTCGATCACACTTTATAATTGAGCATAATTTTTTATACTGAGAATAG